GTCCAGTCAGAGTCCCCCTCTGCTCCAGCGGCCCCTGTGGGGATGCAGGATACCAGAGGTGCAGCTTCACCCGGGACACCCCACACCTGCCTGCTCTGCTCCCTCCCTGCTCCTCTCCTTCCCCGTTGGGAGCCCTCCCCCCTGTACCTCTGGGGTCAAGCCAGCAGGATCCAAACCTGACAGCCTGCCGCATGTTCAATTTTGGCTCTTAACTTTGGTGGCCTGACATGAGGCACTGGGGGCTCGCTCTGAGTGGGGCAGGGTCCCACAGCTCCCACCGCCCCAGCTGCAGGTGCCCATGCTGAGCAGCGCTGGAGCAGCAGCAGCCTTCAGCTTAGGACCCAGGTCCCCCAGAGGAGCCCTGGTTCATCAGTGATTTGCCCAAAGGCAGAGAGAGGCCCTTGTCTTGTGTCTTCCTTCCTGCTACCTGCGATATCAGTCCAGCACGTTCAGTTTATCTCCCAATTAAAAAAGATGCTGGCTCTAAATTTGAACCAACTGCTTGTCTCTTCTTCATCAACAAGGACACTTCCCTCTTCCCTTTCACAGCCCCCTTCTCAGTACCTTGAAACTTCTTCAAAGTCTCCTAGAGAGCTAAATTTTGTCCAGAGAAGACACCAAGTCTCATTTTCCAGCTCTGGGCAAATCCCCTCTGGCAGCTGGAACTGCTCCTTCTTGTACCTGGGAACAAACTAGTCCGCGTTATTTGATTTTCTTTTTGCAGCTCAGCTTCCTGGTAAAATCATTGGGTGGATGGAGGGACCTGGAGACTGACTCTGGCCATGTGCCTCAGCCACAGGGGCAGGGGCAGCACAGACAGTGGCAGTGGCAGCTCCCCCAGCAGGAACTGATAAGTTTTCTCCAGCTCCAAAATGCGCAGGACATTTCCTGGGATCAGAAAGGAGCTGAGACTTCATGGGTAGTTGGCCCAAGCTCTGGTGGCCAGGACTATTCCCCGGGGACAAGAGGGGGAAAGCCCAGATTACACCTTACAGTTTTCAGGCTGCCAGTGCCCAAAGCCATCACTTCCCTGAGGAGAAGAGGGGGATGTTCATGCTTCCCACCTCTGGGGCAGTCCCAGTGCTTGCTGTGCTGTGATGCCCTGCAGGGATGTGCCCATTGCATTGTCCCCAAGACCCTTCCCTCTATGGGGAATGAGGTGGAGCCACGTACCTGCTCAGCGTGCTCCTCATGTCCTAAAGGGAGAGACAAAGAAGCAAGAGTGAGCTCAGTGCTGTGAGCCACAACCAGGGACCCCCTACCCACAGGGAAGCACTTTTTCCTCAGACTCTGTGAGTCCCACACACAGAAGGATCTGGAGAAAGTTCAACCCCTTTACAAGTCCATTTTAGTGACCCTCAAGAGGTGTAAAATACAGCAGTCGTGCACCTTGGGCAGTGGACACACACAGGGCAGTAGCAGCTGGGGCTGATATTCTGCATCTCCCATCACTGCCACCACGTGCCTGTCTGGGGCTGTTGCCTTTGTCGCCCCTCCTCAGGAACACACCTGGTCCCAGCAAACCCAAGATTTAGGCCTTTCCCTCCCCTGCACTTGGACTGGAGACATTTAATGTGCCTCACCTGCAGGTCACTGGCTGCCTGCTGGCACTTCCCCTCCAGCTCCCTGATCAGGTTGGTGAGATGGGAAATCTCCTCGGAGAGTTGGGTGACAGTCTCCCCCTGGCTCTTCTCAATCCCCCTCTCCAGCTCTCCCAGCTCGGCCAGCACGACTCGCTCTTGTTCCTCCAGAAACCGGCGCAGTCGCTCAAACGCTGCCACAATCTTCTGCCTCTCGGCTGCTGCCTTTTGCTGCCATGAAGAGAGAGAAACCACGTCAGGGAGGGCAGCCGCTTTGGGGAGAGTCAGGGAATAGTTCATAAGGCCCTGTGGTCCTGACTGTCCACACAACTGGGACCCCCAACTTCCCACCATCTGGAGCAGAGCTGGAGGTTGCTCAGGTCTGGGGCCCTGCCTGGGATCTCTTCACTCTATTAATTTTGCAAAGGTTTTTTCTGTTTCCCTGAGAGCTAAGACCTGATGGAGGGGAGAAGTCCATGGCTGTCAGCAAGGAAAGCTTTACTCTCATCATCAGTGATCCTGGTTTTTTCTGTTTAAAAATCCCAAATTCGCTGGTCGCGGTCGCTGTAAGCATCAGGATGCCTGCGTCAGGGAAGTCAACCTGCGGCACTGGAGTTGGTGCCATCATGCGGGTTTTGGCTTCTACAATCATGATCCGCACTCCCACAAGAGAGGCATGCTGGGACAACATGGACTTCATCTCTCTTCGAAAGGTAAGAGTGTTCTCTCACAGGTTGGCTGATCTCCTCTGAAGGGTTTTAAACTAGGTTCATCGGGGGATGAGGAAGCAGAGGATAAGGAAAACCTAGGATCAGTGAGCCATGAGCAATGCACTGGATCAGCCCAGGTAGGCACTAAGGTAAGCACTACGGGGCCTGATAGACATCAGGACAGGGGGAGGTATCAAGGGCAGCCATCAGGGGACTTAAATGTCTCTACACTAATGCTAGGAGCATGGGGAACAAGCAGGAGGAACTTGCACTCCTGCTTGCAAGCAACAACTTTGACCTGGTTGGACTAATTGAAGCCTGGTGGGACCCTACTCACAAGTGGGCAGTAGGCATTGAGGGTTACAGGTTGTGCAGACGGGATAGAGCGGGGAAAAAAGCAGCGAGGCGGGGTGTTGCTCTCTATGTTAAGGAACAATATACATCCTCTATAATCAAGATGGCATCAGAGGAGGGCCAAACTGAGGTATTGTAGGTGAGGATACAAGGGGGTTGGGAGGAAAGGGACTTGGTAATGGGTGTCTACTATAGACCGCCACACCAGGAGGATGAGCTAGACCTGCAATTCTCCACACAGCTCTCAGAGGCTGTACAGTTGAGAGAGACAGCTGTCATGGGTGACCTCAACTACCCTGATATCTTCTAGGAGGAGCAGTGAGCCAAATCTAACTGCTCACGGAGATTCTTTACTTGCATACAGGACCTCCACCTAACGCAGGAGGTATACGATCCCCCTAGGGGAAACGCCTTGCTGGACTTGGTGTTAGCTACAGGGGATGACCTGGTGGGGGATCTGCAGGTACAAGGTAACCTAGGGGAAAGTGACAATTGATTCATATAGATTCATAGATTCATAGATGCAGGATCGGAAGGGACCTGAGCAGATCATCAAGTCCGACCCCCTGCCCTGGGCAGGATTGAATACTGGGCTTATATGACCCCTTGTAAGTTTAAGCTCATATGACCCCAGCTAGGTAGTTATCAAGCCTCCTTTTAAAGACCCCCAAGGTAGGAGCCAGCACCACTTCCCTTGGAAGCTGGTTCCAGGTCCTGGCCACCCTGACTGTGAAGTAGCGCTTCCTGATGTCTAGCCTGAACCTACTCTCAATCAACTTGTGGCCGTTATTCCTTGTTACTCCAGGAGGCACTCAGAGGAACAGGGTCTCACCCATTCCCCTCCGGTCCCCCCTGGTAAGTTTATAGATGGCCACCAGATCCCCCCTCAGCCTTCTCTTGTGAAGGCTGAACAGGTTCAGATCCCATAGCCTCTCCTCATAGGGCCTGCCCTGCTGCCTCCTGACCATGCTGGTGGCCCTCCTCTGGACCCTCTCAATGCTGTCCACATCCCTTCTGAAGTGCGGCGCCCAGAACTGGACGCAGTACTCCAACTGCGGCCTGACCAGTGTCGCATAGAGGGGGAGGATCACCTCCTCGGACCTGCTCGTGATGCATCTGTGGATGCATGACAAGGTGCCGTTAGCCTTGCTGACCGCGTCCTCACATTGGCAGCCCATGTTCATTTTAGAATCAATAATGACTTCAATATCCCTTTCTGCCTCTGTGCTTTTGAGAAGGAAGTTCCCCACCAATAGGTATGCTGCTGCTTCCTAGTGCCTAAGTGCAGTACCCTGCACTTGTCAGCGTTGAATCCCATCCTATACACATTCGCCCACCCCTGTAACCTGTCCAGGTCCACTTGTATCCTGTCTCTCCTTTCTAGCATGCCCACCTCACCCCAAATCTTGGTGTCATCAGCGAATTTAAGCAGGGTGCTTTTCACCCCCTCATCCAAGTCAGTAATAAAGAAATTGAACAGCGCGGGCCAGAGGACCGAGCCCTGGGGGACTCCACTGCCCACATCCCTCCAGTCAAACATGACCCATCCACCACCACTCTCTGGGTGCGGCCCCCTAGCCAATTTGTGACCCATTTGACTGTGTAGGCATCAATGGCACAGTCCACCTCACTTTTTAATGAGAATGGGGTGGGAGACAGTGTCAAAGTCCTTCCTGAAGTCCAGAAAGACTACATCCACCGTGACACTCGCGTCCAATGATTATGTGACCTGATCGTAGAAGGCAATCAGGTTGGTCTGACAGGACCTGTCCTTAACAAACCCATGCTGGTTTGCCCTTGAGCATCCTCCCCCTGCTGGTCCCTCACAGATGTGCTCCTGGATAATCTTCTCAAAGAGCTTCCCCAGGACCGAGGTAAGACTAACGGGTCTATAGTTGTGAGCCCCTCCAGAAGTTCCCTAACTTGGTCCACCCTAGGCCTGGCCAAGTCTCCCCCGAGTCCATCCTGAATACCGGTGGGAGAAAAGTCCCAGTCCCTGCTCAGAAAAATGGAGGCGCCTGCAGCCAATCTCACCGACTAGGGGGAGGGAGACCCTCCCATGGCTGACTGCCGACCAGGAAAACAACCATGGTGTTCCCGGAAGTGGCTGTAGCACTTCATCCAGCACTCCCACTCCCCGGCTGGCGCTTGCAGGCGGGCACCGATGCTCCTGCCTGCCCTCCCTGCCCGTTGCCTAAGCAGGGAGTGCTGGCTGTGAGGGGGTGCACCAGCGCTCTCAGGGGGTGCACATGCACCCCCTATGCATCGTGACTGTCCCTTCCAACCCTAACATCTATGAATTTATGATATAAATGCAAAATCTTCACTTTTCAAGAATTAAAGTGAAACACTGCTATCTATATACATAAGTATCAACTGAACACCATGTTTTATTGATATATTTACAATTTTAAAGCAATTTGGAAGACTACCATTACCTTAATCATTATAATAAAATCATTTCTAAACACCTATATATTTCTAAATACCTATATATTTTTGGATTTAAGTTTATTTTTTTAATCATAGAAAACCAGAGACCCCCTGCCCACTTCACTGACAAGGATGCAGGTCCAGCCTCCCCTGGTGCTGAGCAGCCCTGATATGCTGATGCTCCTGACTCATAAGCCACGGACATCCCCCAGCCCTGACGCGACCCCATAATCCTGACCTGCAGCCCCCTGCCCCTGCTGATGCCACTCACTCCCGATCTGTAGCCCCCCTTCCCCGTTGGTGCCCCTCACTCCACAGCTCCCTGTTCCCAGTGGGACATAAGAGGGGGAATGGGGTGGGGCATATGCCCTCCCCCAAGTTTATGCATCCACGGCAGGGCACGGGGCTGCAGCCTGGTCACACCAGCATGGGCAGGATCCGCCTCCATGACCCAGCAGGCAGGACCCGGCACGGGAAGGCAGAGTGGAGCAGTGAGACTCGGTGCCCCCGCCAATGCGCCTGTATTGCCAGCAGCACAAGGAATAACAGAGCGGGGGCAGGCTGCACTGCCCTCACCTCCTCCCACTGTGAGCTGCCTGCACGCTAGGCTCTGGTTGTACCCTGGTGGGGAGGTGGAGTTGGGTGGCCCTCCAAAGTTGGGTTCTGCCCGCTGGGACATTAAGCTGGCTTCTGCCCATGCCCATCTGGCCAGCTTCAGTCCCGTGCAACACTGTGGGCACAGAAATATGGAAGAGCATATGCGCCCACGTGCCCCTGCAGTGCATTGCCTATGGTGCCAGATCCCACCCCAGAAGTGCGTGCAACAGTGGGGAGCCACCTCCCCTGCTAGCCCCTGCACCATCCCACCAAGCCACCCGTACTTCCATCCTCGGGGCCCTGCAGTGTTACACTACTGCCCTGGCCCCAGGTCCCATACACCACCCCAGCTTGGCAGTACCCTCAGCCCCAGCAGCGAACCCTGCCCCACTCCCTCCCTCAGTCTGGGGGCTTGGCAAGAACTGCTGCTGCCACCTCAGTCTTCGCCCCTGCCACTCTCCCCACATTGCCTATGCCCCCCACTAGACTTACCCACAGGGAGCTGGGGAAGCTGCTCTCCACCACGTTGCCTGGGTACCAAGCATGTCTGCCCATGTGCGTATGCACATGGTGCCTCTGCCCATGATTGTCCTCCTCCCACCCCCCGACCCCAAGCAGGCTGCAACTCTGCTAGCCTGCAAGGGGAAACCTGCCATTCGCCTTGGTGTTCCCCTTTAAATGAGATATCCATGTTTTCTCACTGCAAACAGAAAACCCAGATTCCTGCTCATCACTGTGGGTTTGCAAGGCCTGGCTGCATGCACCTGCCACACCACACTGCAACACCGGTCACAAAATGCCACGGTCACTGTCCCACCAAACATGCAGAGCAGGACACGTCCCTTCCTTCCTCCCCCACGTCAGCCGGACCCCAGCAGCACCCACCTGGTATTCCTGGTGTTTCTGGCTTTCACTCCCTCGCAGTGCTTCAAGCCTGTCCCTCTCCCCCCTGAGCAGCTGCAGCTGAGTCTGAATTTGTTCCTGAGGGAAGGGAAATTCCTTGTTTCCGTTTTCCTTGGAGGGGAGAAGCTGGAGTCTCTTCCCAGCACCATAACCGAGAGGGCTACTTGAGGGTGCGCTGTGAGCGTGACACCAGGAAAGCCCATGTGCTCAGGCTGGACCAGCAGCTCCCAGTACAGCGCACCCTTGTCTGGACGCAGCACCGAATAGTGTGCGCTGAACACAGCTGGAGCAGCAAGCAGCCAGTTTCCAGCTGGATTGTGGAGCCAGCTCCTGCCCAGCAGGAAGAGCACATAGAAAAATGGAGCCGTCCTAGGGAGGTGCCACAAGGCAACACTGCAAGCAGTGGGAAGTGCAGACTGTCAGGGACATGCACTGAACAGAAAATAACACGGCCTTGAATCCACCGCGGTCGACAGTGCAGAATGCCAGCCAGTCTGAAGCAGCTGGGCCGGACAAGACACAGGTCTGGTCTCTGGGCACTGACATGAAGAAACTCACAAGTGAGACACGAGTCCTGAAGTATCACAGCCCAGCAGTACAGCTACAGCTACAGCTAAAGGTACAGCTAATGCTAAAGCGACATTAATCCAGGACCAGCGCAGCACGGCATTTGGTAGCCAGGCCTGGACCGAGACAGTGAAGGAGGTGCTCAGATACAAAAGGAGGACCTGGCCGTGCTCCCTGGGCTGGGGCGGAGCCACCACGTCCCCTCTGGACCCAGCGTTAGCCCTGAAGCCCCCGGCACCAATGCAATGCGCATTACTGAGACTTGTGCAACGCGCCGGGAGCATCGGCTGGGGGAAGCAGCTGCTCGTGGCAGATCCTGTGAGCCAGGCCTGCCCTCCAGAGCATGTCACGTGGGCTGTGTCCGAGGGGAACAGAGTCTGTCCATGCGCTACAATCCCCCCGTCCCCAAGGAGTCCCCAGGCAGCTCCCAGGGAGGGTTGTAACAACTGAAGGGAAACCGGTGCCGGACACCCCCTGTTTCAAGACACAGCCTCGCACACAACTGTGGGTTGGTGACACTGGAGGAGGTTCACTGCTCTGCATTTCCAGGGCCAGGGGAGCCGCGTTCCTGCTTCATCTGGTTTCAAAAGAAGGATTTGATGACAAGGGTGTAGTAATTGGGCGATTTTAGGGTTAAAGTGGTCATCATTATTATGGGATTGAGTTTGAGTCCAGCACTCCCCATTCTGTTTTTCCAGATAGCTGGTATTTGTTCCTGAATAAAACAGCTCGAGGTTTTGGGCCTGGAGAAAAGTAAGTCTCATTTTTTTTTGTTAAGTGATGAACTTAACAGTGGCAACAAGAAAATCTAACTATGCCTTCCTATGGGAAAATCGAGGAATTTAATCCAGACACTGAGGATTGGCAACAATATATTGAGAGTTTGGGCCATTATTTTCAAGCTAATGAAATCACTGCCGGGGACAAAGAGCAGGCAATATTTCTCAGTGTTTGTAGCAGCAAAACATATCCCCTTTTAAGAAGTTTGTTGCAACCTGAAAAGCCAGGAGATAAAAGTTTGGCACAGTTGTAAAAGATCTTGTCTGAACATTATACCCCAAAGCCAAACAGTGTTGTAGAACATGACAAATTCCAGAACAGAAGGAGGAAGGACGGCGAATCTATCAACGAGTATATTGCTGAGCTCAGAAAGCTAACTGAACACTGCTCTTTTAGAAATGTCCTAGAAGATATGATGAGAGACAGATTTGTCTGTGGGGTTGGTGATGTAAAAATCCAAGAACAATTACTTGCACATGGGGACATGACCTGGGACAAAGCTGTAAAGGTGACAACAGTCATGGAAGCAGTCATGAAAAAATGTACAGGGTTTACATTTAGACTATAAAGAAACTAAATATGAGCCATAAACGAAGTGCAAAGCTCTCAACAGAAGTTAAGAGAATTGGAGAGATGTTTTCACTGTGGAGACATGCATTCAGCCTCAGTTTGCAGACACAAAATGTCCCAGTGTCATAAATGCAGCAAGATGGGACACTTAGCAAAAAAATGCAAAGGGGGTGATTTGGCTGCACAACAAGGTCAGGCCAAAGAAAAGGGAAGAAAGCAAAAAGCTTATCACATACAGGAGGAGGAAGGAGAGGAGGCAGATGAAGAGGTCCACACTGTATATATATGTGTAATGGAGGATAAAGTGGAACCTTACAGAGTAACTGTACAGTGAAATAACCAACCTGTATGCATGGAAATAGATACAGGGGCTTCTGTCACAGTGGTTAATGAAGAGATTTATCAACAGTGTAAAACAGGCCTGAGTCCTTTGGAAAAGACAAGAGTGAAACTAATGACTTACACTGGGGAAAACATCCAGTAATAGGATCAGTAAGTGTGCCTGTTACACGTAAAGGACAACAGAAAACCTTAAATGCCTTAGTAGTAAAAGGAGAAAGGCTCAATTTGTTTGGTAGGACATGGCTGAAAAAACCCAGATTAGATTGAGAAGAAATATCTAAATTAGATTTACAGGAAATGCCCGCCCTAAAGGAAATCCTGGGGGCCTACCCTTCAGTATTTCAAGAGGGGTTAGGTACACTGAAGGGAATAAAGGCTAGGATTTATATCCAAGAGGGCAGCCAGCCAAAGTATTTTTGGTGGAGAAGAGCACGTCTCAGTTGTCTTTGCTGAGTCAGGAACACTGTGTTGTCCCCTAAACTGAACAATCAGGAAGAACAGCCTATTGGATATGCCTCAAGGACACTGAACAACACCGAACGGGGTTATTCTCAGTTGGAAAAGGAAAGTTTAGCTATTATATTTGGCCTAAAGAAGTTTTACCAGTATCTGTATGGGAAGGCTTTCACCATCCTAACAGACCACAAACCTTTGGTAGGATTATTTAAGGAAAATAAAGCAGTACCCACTATGGCAGTGACATGACTACAGCAGTGGGCTTTGCCCCTAGCCACGTATGAGTACAAGATTCTTTACAAGGTGGGCCGGGCCGGGCCATCAGCATGCAAGAGAGTTTTTTGGGGGGGATGATCCTCTTTACACAAAAAATTTCAATACCCGCCAACCTACTTGGGTTCCAGGCAGGATCCAAAAACAAATGGGAGCCTTAATTTTTAAAATTGGAGTAAAATGGCCAAATGGTGAGACGACATCAGGACCACATCCACTTACGACCCAACCTACCTGAGGGACCGGAGCTGTTGCCTGAGGAGAATGTGCTTGCAGGGGACCTAGAATAGAGTTGAATGACTGAGAAGTTTGAGCCCCGAAATATGGACCCGTCCACAACCTCTGCTAGTCCGGAGGGCAGAGGTGTTGGAGACAGACACATAGTCCTCTGGGCGGAGGAAAAGTCTGCTCCTGAGGAGGGGCGTTATCCAGGGGGAGAACGGAGAGCTCCTAGTTATTTGAAAGATTATGTCTGGGTTGTAAATTAAGAGGAGAGCAATGTAGTAATTGGGCAATTATAGGGTTAAAGCGTTACTCATTATTGTTATGGGATGGAGCTAGAAACCAGCCCTGCCCGCTCTGTTGTGCCAGAGTTACTGTCATTTCCCAGGCAGGTGGTGTTTGTCCCCGAATCAAACAGCCGGGGTTTCGGGATGGAGAAGAGCACGTCTCAGTTGTCTTTGCTGAGTCAGGAATGTAACAAAGGGCATTTGGGTCCTTCTCGCCTCCCCCAGCAGGATGGCTTGCACAGAGGCTACCACAAACCAGCCTCCGTGTGCAGCCACGCCGTTGTGCCGTGGGCGGGGGGG